ACCTCGGGATGAGCTCAAAGAAACAGAAGCTGTAGACTGTTGTGTAGCTACACCATGTCTAGCTGCATACTCATCATATAAGGTTTGAAAATAACAGGGAAAACCCGATGATTATTATCGCTATAAAAGAGGTCTCGGCTACGTCTCCTCATCCGACGACGAATATTGCTGGCAAATCATTGATCATATCGCTAACAAGGCTAGAAAAGGATACTCTTCCGACTCTTCGGCTGGGGGTTCCGACGCTAGCCTTGGCGTAGCTGCATACTCATCATATAAGGTTTGAAAATAATTTCTAATAGCTAAATGATGAGTAGTAGCATTAATGGTGGTTCCATCATCTAAGTCTATAATATGATTACCATACAAAGATTGTAACAAACTTAGAAGGCCAATATCCTTCAAGCATGGATCAATAAGAACCCCCAAACAAAAAATATGAGGAATAGGCCTAAAGTACTTATTAAATTTGCTCTCTATTTGAAAAATCAAAGGTCCAAAAGTATCATCCATACGATATTTCCCAAAAAAATTTTGAATATTTAAAATTTGTAAAGCAGCTAAAGTAATGGTTGGATAATAATAGCCAGATAATAACATTGTAGCATCTTAAAAAATTTGTAACATTTTATTTAAATTACATATAATTGTCCATTCATCTTCAGTTATTCCATAAGTGACAGTCTCCTACCCGATGAGAAAGAAGAGTTAATCTCTCTTATCAGGGAGTACATCGACGTGTTCGCCTGGAATTATAAAGACATGCCAGGGCTCGATCCAAACGTAGCTGTGCATCACCTTAACATTAAGTCGGATGTCAAACCTGTCAAACAACAACAAAGACGGTTTCGTCCGCAAATGATGGAGGCGACTATTGCTACACTTAACATTGCATAGGTAGAATTCCACCTATGGTCAACATCTTTTGGAATTAGTCTGGTCTTTACATTTTTTTCTTTTACAAAATTGTTTACATCTTTTAAGTCTTTGTTCAGAAGCATTATGCATGTAAGCAACTGTTCTAATCTTTTCTATCATGCGTTTAATTTCAGTAAATGCACTTTGAACAATTAAATTTAAAATATGACAGATACACCTAATATGAAAAAGATCACCATGACATGGCAATGATAAAGTTGATCTGATAAAATCAACAGCTACATTGTTATTACTTGCATTATCTAGTGAAAGAAAAAATATTCTTTCTAAAATTTCTAATTTCATAAGTTCTTCAATTATTAAATTTGCAACATTAATACCAGTATGTGACTCTTCTATTACAATAAAAAAAATAACTCTTTTAAACATTTGCCATTTTTCATCAATCCAGTGTGCTGTGATACATAAATATCCAGTTTGTACTCTAGATGTCCAAATATCAGAAGTTAAAGAAAATTTACAATTTAAATTTTTAAAATAAGAAATTATTTTTCCTTATTCCTCCTGATAATATTTTAAAATATCACGTTGACAGGTTTGACGAGAAAACTTTTTAAATGCAGGATAAAAACCATCCCTAAACATATCTTTAAATTCATCATCTTCTACTAATTTAAAAGGAATGTTTTTAAGAATGATAAATCTGATTACGTATTTCCTGGCTCTGGCAGCGTCATAGTTCCAACTACCGAGACTACCAGAAGAGGAGGATTGAGAAATCATAGATTGTCGGATATCACCTTGAGGAGTATGACCTTTGTTGTGTTTATCTAAATGGCGTTTGAGGTCGTTGGTGCCGCTTTTATGATGAGCTTAGAAAATATAGCCACACAATGCACATTTAGCCTTCTAGGTGAGAAGTTTACCGTGTTGATGCTTGGTGACTTTTATCTTCTCAAAAAAATTTCACACATCAGATCTCAGACTTTTAGGAGCAGTAGGGGTGAGATCATTGCCACCGGATTTGGGATCAACATCGGTAGGAGGAGTTGCGGTAGGTGTAGTAGGAGTAGGACTCATTTTAATGTCGGGAGTTAGAACTTGCCATTCATAATCGGAGGAGGAAGCCATTTGATTAGAGAATTATAGAGTGAAAGAGAGAACGATCACCACTGGTGACCGTTGCCACAGGGCCGGGCTCCGGGCCCGGGCTGCCCGGCCCGGATTGTTGCCCGGCGCCGGCCCTGTTCCGGGCCGGGCCGGGCGCCGCTGAGACAGCCCGGACCCGGGCCCGGAACCCAGCCTGGCCCGGATTTTCGGGCCGGCGGGCTTTTTGGACAGGCCTACCCACACACAAAAATTCGGGGAAGGGGGCTAAAATGAAATTTAACCCTTATATTTCATTCCATTTGAGGAAAATGATCGTTGTATTTTTCTTTATTTTTTGAAATTTTCAAAAAGGTCAAATTTCAGCTTCTTCGGGTCAAGAGGCTCGTTTCAAATCCGGACCGGACGTGCTCATGTTTTAGGCGCCTGTCAATAGTCTGACGCAAAACTCTTTTGATTTTGAAAACTACCTCCACCTGAAACCCTGTATAAATTCTTGGGAATTCATGAACATGGGCTTGAAAATATTAAGACCAGGGAGTAGTGCATGGACTGAATTTCTCCACTTCAAAACTGCAGATACAGATGCGTCTTGCTACTTAGAGCAACTCCAATGGGGAGGCTGCAAAATGCAGCCTCCCCAAAGCATATTCTTGGACATATGCTTTTTTAGAGGGGGTAACACCAACCACCTCCTCTATATGAAGCTCTATTTGCATTTTTAATTGATTTTTTTATAATACTTTAAATAGATTTGAAAATATAAAAAATATAAAATGTTAAAAAATTATATGAATTAATTTAAAATATAAAATATATTATAATTTAATACTAAAAGTATAATATATAATATACTCATTATTTAAATAAAAGTAATTATCTTTAATAAATTGATAATAAGACATAGATAAGAGCCTTTAAATTTTAAAAAGCAGAAAATATAGCATAATATTTGAAACAACCTTCACAGCTACTCCGAATGATGAAACTTTATATATTACATTCAGCGGCATTACATAGAAAAAGAAAGTACATGAAAATAAAGTACATGAAAAAAACTAAAATTCGGGCAGGCCATTTCCTCCATATCCACCGCTTCTGTAGTCAGGTATTCCGTATTGACTTCCTGCATAACTATATTCAGGATTAGGAATATCAGATGAAGAACCTCCGGTTGTGTTTCTATTTAAAATCTCTTGTTTTTTAATTCGAAAATACTCGCGTTCCGAAGGATCAGTAATAGTATCAAGATTAATCAACATAATCTTACTTTCCTGGCGTTCCCTTTGAATATCTAATTTTTTTCTTTTCGTTTTCGGCCCTTAACATCATAATCTGGTGCATTGTTATTCTATCATTTTCTCGTTCTCCATGACTTTTTTTTTAAATATCGACAATTTCTTGATTGCTTTTATTGAGAGTTTCCAAGTCGAGGTTGGATTCAGTTGCTTGTCGCCTCCTCGTCTTCTCTTTCTTCCTTCCTGTCGGTCGACTTGTTATCATATCTTCGTCATTATGAGCATATTCCTCATTATCGTCATTTAAGTCGACGACAGGAGAACTTGAATCTGATCCCTGAGATGAGCGGGACTTTGAAGTTTTGGAAGTTGCAGGCGATCTGACACTTATATTTGCCCATTTCTCTGCATCTTTTAAAATTGACCAAACATGATCAAATAGAAACCCCTTTCTCTCTTCTGGATCTTCTGCAAATATTATCCTAGCACGTTTAATCTACCACAAGAGAGGAAGAAACATTTATTAATAACATGATAGTAGATGATAATCAAGATTTATGTTATTCAAAATACTTACAATGTCAAGCTCAGAAGCACCGCTTGGATTTAAGCGCTCGACTTGTCGAATACATCCTCGAAATTTACTGATGGCCTTCATAATTAATTGCATTCGGCATGAAAGAGACTTTGGAGTCCTTTGAGCATTACAAATATTGGAAATCCTTTCATGAAATAAAGCAGAAATTCGTTCCCACAGCTTGTCCTTCTTTTGATTAGAACCTATGACTGGATCTTGAGAAATTTCGAGCCACGTGGTGCATAAAACTTGGTCTTCTTCTTGTAAAAAAGATTTTTCGCGACTAGATGCCATAATCTAAGGAGGAATGTAAAGAGTTATGAATATAGAATAAGAAGAGTTGTGGTGGAGATATGAAAATTGTGCAAGTATTATATAGGGATCAGATGTGGGGAGTCTCCAACACAAAAGGAATCCAATGTGGGGGTGAGAAACCAATGCTAAAAAGAATCCAATGTGGAGAGTCTCCAACACGAAAGGAATCCAATAGGGGGGTGAGAAGCCAATGCTGAAAAGAATCCAATGTGGGGAGTCTCCAACACGAAAGGAATCCAATGTGGGGGTGAGAAGCCAATGCTGAAAAGAATCCAATGTGGGGAGTCTCCAACACGAAAGGAATCCAATGTGGGGGGTGAGAAACCAATGCTGAAAAGAATCCAATGTGGGGAGTCTCCAACACAAAAGGAATCCAATGGGGGGGTGAGAAGCCAATGCTGAAAAGAATCTAATGTGGGGAGTCTCCAACACAAAAGGAATCCAATGTGGGGGATGCTGAAAAGAATCCAATGCGGGGAGTCATATTATATAATGACATTACATCCATCTCTAAATAACTCACAACTTATATGATTATTTCTATAAATAACTTCTTCATCAATGAACTATGGAGCCGGACCGTCACATCTACCTTCTTCTTCTTCTTCTTCTTCTTCTTCTTCTTCTGACGACGAAATATGGTCTCAGTACATTAAAGATTGGGAGGAAGATATGACACAATGGGAGAAGGAAGATGAACTCTTAGCTCGCGTACATGCCTCTAATAGTAAAATAATGACTTATCTCTCTCAAGAGGCAGAGCGGCCAAAGCGTATTGGCTGAAAAGAATCCAATGCGGGGAGTCATATTATATAATGACATTACATCCATCTCTAAATAACTCACAACTTATATGATTATTTCTATAAATAACTTCTTCATCAATGAACTATGGAGCCGGACCGTCACAACTACCATCTTCTTCTTCTTCTTCTTCTTCTTCTGACGACGAAATATGGTCTCAGTACATTAAAGATTGGGAGGAAGATATGACACAATGGGAGAAGGAAGATGAACTCTTAGCTCGCGTACATGCCTCTAATAGTAAAATAATGACTTATCTCTCTCAAGAGGCAGAGCGGCCAAAGCGTATTGGCTCAGTTCCTGGTCATTTGGTGATCAATCGCGGGAGGGAAGAAGGTAATTCTCGACTTTACCATGACTATTTTTCTGATAACCCTACATATGGTGCAAACCTATTCCGTAGAAGGTTCCGGATGCACAGGAGTTTATTCCTTCGTATAGTCGAGGCGGTACGTGAGCATGACAACTTCTTCGTACAGAAGATGGATGGTGTCGGCAAACTTGGGCTATCAACTTTACAAAAAGTTACATCGGCATTTCGCATGTTGGCGTATGGAACATCAGCAGATAGTACTGACGAATATGTTAGGATCGGTGAGTCAACTGCAATTGTGTGTTTAAAGAGATTTTGCAGAGCAATTGTAGAAGTATATGGAGATGAATATCTGAGGACTCCCAATGTCGACGATGTTGCAAGGTTATTGCAAAAGGGCGAAGAAAGAGGTTTTCCAGGAATGTTAGGAAGTCTAGACTGTATGCATTAGCAATGGAAAAATTGTCCAACAGCATGATGGATATGGCATGCATACTTTGGCTTACCAGGATCCAATAACGATATTAATGTATTGCAGTCGTCTAATTTGTTCGACAATCTATCACAAGGTATTGCTCCTCCTGCTCATTACACAATTCAAGGAAAAAATTATGATGTCGGTTATTATTTGGCCGATGGCATATATCCGAAATGGCCAACACTTGTTCAAACCATTTCTAATTCCGATGATAAAAAGAAACAATATTTTGCAATGATGCAAGAAGCATGTCGAAAAGATGTTGAGCGGGCATTCGGTGTTCTCCAATCACGATTTGCTATCATCAAGGGGCCAGCCCGTTTTTGGGATAAACGAACTCTGCATGATATCATGACTGCTTGTATTATAATGCACAATATGATTGTCGAAGATGAACGCGACGAGCAAGAAGATGTTGTCATTTCAACTCCACAATCAATTCCGAATGCTGAAAATATGGAGATAACGGAAACTGAACGATTCCAACGGTTTCTTGCTCGACATAAGAGGTTGAAAAACAAAGAAGCTCATTTTGCACTTCGAAATGCATTGATTGAACATTTGTGGGAAAGACATGGAAATGAAGCTATGTAACTTTTTTTACTAATGAAATAATGACTTTTTTATTTTTTTAATTACTTGGTTCTTGAAATTTTATATTTCAATTAATATTATTCAATATTAGTCTCATTTTGAAGGTATCGACAAAACATTTCCAACTGTAAAATTTTTATTTAAAAATAATTAGTAGAAATAAACTTATGTTGATTTTAAGTTGAATATCTAAAAATAATTAGTTAGTTAGAAGGGTATTATTGTAAATTTTTAGGGGGAATAGTGGTTTGGAGGGGGGCTGCATATTTGGAGCAAAAACTCCAAATATGCAGCCGAGTGGGGGTTTTTGCATCCGGACTCCAAAAATTGGAGTCCGGTTGGAGCTCCATGGGGCTGCAAAATGGAGTTTTGCAGCCCCATTGGAGTTGCTCTTAAGCATATAGACGGAGAAAAACGTATAATCTTCAAATTTTGGAATTTCCTTCAACCTCACTTAGTGGATGTATCCATCGTAAAAGTTTAAAAAAAAAGTCGGTCATGTCGGTCATGCATCTTTCTTTTTAGGGTTACTAATTGAGCACTTGGTCAAATAGAGAAATTATCCCGTCAATTAGGAACACGAGATTTGGTGCAAAAACTAAGAAGAGAGCTACTAAGTATCTAATAAACTAGAAATTAAAGTCAATATTTTTCTTTTTGTTCTTTGTTGGGTACCAAACCACCATCTCCAATACTAGAGCAAAATCATTGCATATCTCACCTTAGTGTAGCTCGGCTCTATTCATTCTACAGTACACCCCAATAGCTCGTTGCTAAAAGAAAAAAGAAGGTAATTTTTGTTTACAAACACAATGTTCAACTCAATTTGCTTATAAGTCCGCCACTTTAAAAATCCATCTTAAGTACATAATACTTAGCAGGCTTGAAACTTTTCTCAGCTCTACAAAACCAGTTCAATGTAGTTAAAAGTAATAATAAATAAACAAAATTTTCATCTATAAACTCAATAAGCTAACCAAATTTAGTTTTATGCCCACACACTTGAAAAATTAATCATAAACCCGAAATACTCCATGAGTTCCAATAATATAATATTAATGAAGGACCATATACCATATAAAAAGTCTTTTTTTGCTGTAAACCCCAAATTTCCTAATTTACTTTTAAATTCACTCGTTTCATAATCAATTTTTGACCTAAAATACTCTAATGAAATACTTTTGAACTTAATTTATATTTCATAAATTTTTTATATCATAAGTTGCAACTGTAGATTGATAGCTATAAATCTTTTCCTTATTTATTTTCAAACCTACCCATTACAAGGATTTTTATTATAAATTGAAAGTATTAGATCTATTTATTTTTAAACTACACACCTTGAAAATCAATCTTAGAGTCAAACAACTATATCAAGCTATTTTTAAACTCAATTTGTGATAGTTTGTACATATGGTTTAAGTTGTTATATTCCACTTTGACTTGGTATATTTTTTTCTAAGAATCTAGGTATACTATGCTTTAGACCAAATGTTTAAGCATTATTTTAGGTATTTTTTCACATTGTTGTAATGTCGCAAATGGTAGATGAGTTTTTTTTCTATAAGGTCAAGGTCTTATGCTCATTTATTTTAAAATTCGCCTACTTTCCAAAGATTTTTTTCTAAATCAAAAGAATTCTGATAGTTTTCTATACTTGTAAGTTGTTCTATTTTATTTTAACATGTAAAACTTTATTCAAAAGTGGTTAGGTAGAGTAGAGATTCTATCATAATGTCCTATCTAAAAGGGTAATCTATACCATTAATGGTTAGCTTGGGAATTATAGTTATTCTATTAATGGTGCAAACCACCTCACTTTTATATGGGCGGTTTTCATAGAAATCTTACTGATTTGATAAACCATGTATTTCATAAATCAAGTACTTAACAATGTTGTATTTTTTTCATGCTAATGAGGCGACATGAAAAATATTATTTCTATATAAACTCAAAATTTTAGCAAATTGCCTTTTTAAGTTACTCTCTTCCTAAATAGTGTTATTGTGTATACGTCAAAAATCTTGCCTTCATTTATTATTAAAGTCACTCACCTCCAAGATTACTCTTGAGAATCAAAATACTCATTCAAACAAATATCAAACTCACTTTACACTTTCACTGGCTCATCATATGTGAGTTTCTATATTTTATTATGACCTTGTACATTTTCGTTCTAAATCCAAAATCATGTTATTTATTTTTAAACTCACTCATTTCCAAGGCTACTCTTAAACACAAAATACTCAACATTATTTTTAAATCTATTTTGTATTTCAACGGTTGGTATATATTGTAAGTCATTATATTTTTGTTTTAAGTGGTCAACTATGGTGTATTTTTTTACTAAATGTTTAATCCATTTTTTTTGGTTTTTTGCCTCTAAGCTCAAAGTTCCCCTCTTATTTTTTGAGTCAACTCATGTTTATAGTTATTTTTTCCTAAATGGTTAAGTGTACTATGTAACAAGATTTCTTAACTATTATATTTTTGCTTTTTCCATGTTAATATTGTAGCATAATGAACTATGGATGTGTTTTTTCTTTACTCATTTTTAAACTCACTCACTTTGAAAAACTAGGTTTTATGCACGTGCAAATACACATGGTTAAATACTATGACTAAGTATTCTTGATTTATTTCTTTACAAAAATGTGTTCCTCAGTTTCACTTTGATTGTTTTTGCTCATTATATCCTTAAACTTTAGCATTGTGATTATTTATTTTTTTAATGCTATTTGAATGGGCTACACCAACTTTAAAATTTTTATGTTAATAATTGAATTGATAAGAAATAAATGTAATCTAAAGCTAATTTGAATTTTCACGTTATTTAGATCGACATGAAACCAAACTTGACTTGAGAAGGTATTATACTGGAAAAGTGAAAAACGCTTGAAAAAATAGCGTTATAAAAGAAGAATGAATAATTAAAACCAATAAGCCAAGATGATTAATTAAAAGTTGGCTAGAATGAAACTAAAGATAATATAAATTTTGTTATTAATCATTGATAGACTTTAGAAAAAAATTATAAAATAAAGATTAATGCTAACTCTAGTACACTTTTATATGATAAAAGCATCCATATAACCATATAAAAATATTAAAATAGTTCATGAAAATCCCTTCTAAAGTTTTCTAATTTTACTAAAAAATTAAGCTATTCTATAAAATATTCAATAATTTAAATTTGTGTTGTATTTATAAATAGCATTAATGGAGATGCTTTTATTTTATCAGCTTATTCTGAATGAGCCTTGCATATCAGATTTAAAGTATAATATTTTTTTCTTTATCGTGTTATATGGATGTTTATTTGTTTTTACTTATTATTTTCTTATTTCTTCAATAAGTTGTATCTTTAAATTGATATATATTATTAACACAATTTACGATGATATGCATATCTTTCCTACAAATTTGAAACAGATATAATTAAGGTGAATTTTATGTTTAGTGGCATTTAACAAGAATTTTAGTTGTAAAATATGTTACATTCATATCTAAAGATCTTAAAATCTGATAGTACTATTACATGCTTATCTTTGATCGTGTCCTTAAAAATTAATTCTTCGTTGGTAGTCATATCCCCAAGTAAGGTTACTTGCAAAGTCGTGCCACTATGTAGAAAAAAAATATCAAATTTAATTTAATTTTTACTTATGCTATGGTAACTAAGTATCATGTGCATACATTTTGTCCATTATAGTGATCTTTCTCATATTATCTAGCTTATTATATCTCACAATATAGTTTATCAACTGCTTCACTTTAGTTTCTATTGTAAAATTATTTATATATAATTTTATGTTAAGTTTATGATTCCTTTAGTATTTCAATAATAAAGTATAAAAATTTATAAGTACTTACTAATTTTTCTTGTATATTTCATGAAGAATGCTTTTTTAATTAGAACAAAATTGTTCAATATGTTCTTTAAGGGGAACTCGGTCAGTGTTTTATTTTTATTTTTGCTAGAGATGCCTTTTATCAATGTCAATTCAGGTGATTCATGAATGCTTCCGAATTTTGAGTTTATTTTCTTCACTTCTTCAATTAAAATAAAACAACTTAGTTCTTTTAAAGGATAATTCTAAACTTTTTGATAGTTTCTCTATATATAACTCATTGTATTTTTTTATCCTATAAATATTATCAACAATAGAGATGATACATTATAATCAATTAATGCTAACCTATTATATTATAGTCTTTTATTAATTTATCTTCTATCAATGAATGTTATTAGTAAAATTATATGTAGTTCCTTGAATTTATACATTAATACTAATTTTTAAACTATCATATATTTTTAAATTCTTATTCCTTAACTAGATCATTTTAATCTACTATAATTACTATTTTTACTGGCATCAACTTAGACTATTTTTAGATGCTAAAAAGGAATGACAAATTTTAAATTGAAAGTTAAATTCATATATCTTAATGTAATAACGTCAAACATTTCCTCTTTTCTTTGCCAAATTTTAGCATTTTTTATGATTTTGAACTTTTGAGGGTGTGTTTTGTAATTTTTAAACTTTGTAAGTGTTTTATAAAAATTTTAAATTTTAAGTTGGGTGCTCATAATTTTCATGTTTCATGTATTGGTGATAAGTTTTTAAATATTAGAATGTTTATTGTACCTTTAAAAATTTGAAGGTGTTTTTATAATTACTAAAATTTTGGGTTATTTTTTGAAAAACTTCAATTTTCAACGATCTGTTGATAATTTCTAAATTTAAAGTGTACCAGTTATAAGTTTTAGAATTTTAGGATTTTTTTTAAAAAAACTTTACTTTAGAGGGAGTTTTTGTAATTTTTATAACTTTGATGTTATTTTTTTAAAAATTTTAAAATTTTAAGTGCCTAATGGTAATCCCTGAAATACATCTATGTTGTTTTTAAGTTTTGAAATCTCAGAATTTTAGGGTGTTTTTTTGTAATTAATGTTGGACCCTAGAGGGGGGATTAGGGTCTTATGCTAATCTAATCTG